CTAGTCCCTTAGTGGTATTCAAGAGTTAAAATAATGTGTAAAAATAATATTCCAACTACACTGTATTCATTTTCTTTTTTGTTCTGAGTGCAATTTTTTCTAGTCACTGTATAACCACATACTTTTGATTTTCTGTAAATTATATTGTTTTGTATTTTCGATTTTTTGACTTTCTTTGAAGGCTTTACTTTGTTGTACTGTATAACGATTTTACAGTGTTTTGAGTTTTCTTTTGTATTTTGAGGTACGGTTAGTTGGCTTATTTAGCAAATTTTATAATTTGTTTTGTATTATGTTGAATTGTATTTGTGCAATTATTCTTTAAGGATTTGTTTCTATATTGCAATGACTATTCAATATTACAGTAAATATATTATGTATTGTATTTTGATTCTACAGTGTTCATAATTACAGAATGTTTTTCTGATCATGCAACATCACTCATTATTATTTTTAAAGGGTTTTATATAATTCATTTTCATAATAATATGATGCTATATTTGTATGAAAGATATATATTTGTATTTTGAATTAATTTCCTAGTTTTTATTTTGTTTTATCAATATCTTTATCATTTTACTTGGTTTCGAGTTAGTATGTTTATCCCTGTTAGTCATTCACTCTCAAAAGAATTGATCCCCCTCATTTTCTGTTTATTAATCATTTATAAAGTGTTTTTATTTTATTGTGTTATGCAAATTCCTCTTTGTTAAAGGTTTTTAATTAAGAGCTGTATACTTTTTGTAAAGATGTTTTTATGTATTGGCTTTCTTTGTTATAGTGTTGGTTATGTTACATATAAGTACTTAAATGGGTGAAAGTTATAATACTCCTTGACCAGTACTTGTTTGAAAGTCTAATTGATTTTAAGGATTAAAATTAATGTCGGCTTTAGGAAAAGCCTTGAACAAAAAGTAGAGAGAGGTATGGTGTACAAACATACCTCATATTTTAATACAAAAATTTCCGAAGCTTATCATTTGTGTGTATGTTCAGTCAAGAAAGTTGTTAAGTTGCCTTTGCAGACTACCTATTATTCTATATCATTTCCTGAAATAACATGTGGTCTGTCTGTAGAGGAAGTAGATGTAAAGCTACACCTAGTGTATGAAAGTAGACAACAATTTCCTCTAGTGGTAGACCAGGTGATGTCTCAGGGTTATAGCTTCCTTGTTTTAATGGGATTGACCAGTAGTGAGAAATATAGCACTTGTGCCTTCAGAAAAACAGTTAGCTCTCTCGCTCCTTCTTCTAAAACACACATGATTTTTATTGTGAGTTTGAATAAAGATGGTTTCATTTTGTGCATTAATGTCCAATCTCTCTCTCTCTATCTTTTATCCAACTCAGTCAGTTTCAGTGAATTTATAAATTACTTTGAAATATATCTTGCGAACCTAACCCACCTGATTCACTCTTTAGGGAAACCAGTTTTACTTGAAAATACTACAGTATTTCTCATTGTTACTGAGATATTTTGATAAATGAAGGTGGTGTTCCAAAAACAACGTTAATCAAACCCCAGCCAGACTTACGTACAAGATTTTCTTAGTATGAGATACAAAAGTATTAATTTTATTAACTAGTCTTTGTTTCATGCATTTTAAACTAAACTTCTGACTTAAACAGTCACATATTGGTATTAAATCTAAAGATGTAACATCTGGAAAATTTACGAACTTTTTGAAAATATGCTAGGCCTTCTGTTCCGTTATGAGGGTTCCCCAATGGCACAGCGGTATGTCTGCGGACTTACAAAATTTTCAAATTTCACATGCAAAATCTTTATAGTGTCCAGGTAGTTATCAAACGTTTCTTAAGGGAAAACTTTATATTTTATCTGTTACATTCACTAATGAATCTCTATGGGTTCGATAGATTTGACGGATCTCGTAACCAACATAAAACATTTGGAAATAAATATAAATTAAGCTTCTTTCATTCTAGAATGACTACAAATTATAACCCCAAAACATAAAATGTTTAGACTAAATAGTATAAATCTCATAACATTATACATATAAATTTATTATTTTTATTATATTAACCTTTCAGCCGTGCCTGGCTAACATTATAGAAGTTGTAATGACGTGGCGCACATGCAGTCATGTTCCCGTATCCAGTAATATAAAATTGACCTTTAGTCAATTAAGAGTTGCTAAGCATTTTAAAATTTTGCATGTGGAGGATATGTAATGAAATAATTATTTTAGGCTTTATGTATACAGTTGAATAACCAAAAAAATCATAAACTACTATATCAATACCACAGAATTCCACTATAATTTATCACGCTTAGTAACTAAGCTGCATTTCGGCACCTGCTCGCGCCTATCAAAATAATCCAATATACTCACCTATGCACATATACGCACCTCCTCGTGCATATACACAAATACTTATCTGTGTGTATATGTACTGAGTGGTGTTAGTTGCCCTAGTGGTTTTCTCAGCCATTTTAAAATGTTGGGAGGCCATCTCATTCTTTCGAACCAAGATTTCAAGCAGGTAGGTTGTGTATTTAGTCTGCTGCAAATTTCATATTTTTTAGACCGAAATACTGCTTTGTTTGAAATTTTGTGCAAATCTACATGACGGCTATCTCCATTAGCTATTCCTCGTTTAACATTGTAATACTAGAAGTAAGGAAGCTAGTTATCACCACCCACCACCAACTCTTGGGATACCAACGAATAGTGGGATTGACCATCACATTATAATGTTCCCATGTCTGAAAGGGGAACAATGTTTGGTTGGACGGGGATTCGAACCCACGCCCCTCAGATTGGGAGTCAAGCATCCTAACCACCGGGTTTTGCCAGGCCGAAATACAGCTTAGTTACTAAGCTGGATAAATTATAGTGGAATTCTGTGGTATCGATATATTAATTTATGATTTTTTGGTTATTCAACTGTATACACAAAGCCAAAAAATTTTTCATTTCATATCTTCCACGTGCAAAATTTTAAAGGTCTTAGCAACCTACGTCAAGCAGATACTGAGTACTAGAAGAGATAATTGTTTGCTTCTGTGTTTTAAGAAAAATAAGTTTAATAACGTATTTCTAAATAATAATAATCTATATACATATATAATGTATAATAATTGAAATGTTACTGTATTTTACTAAATACTAGTATACTAAAACACAGCCTCGACAGGGTCACTTTGTAAATACTAAAGGTCAATTTTATATTATTGGATAGGGTAAGGTAAGTGCACCGCGTCATTACAACTTCTGTAATGTTAGCCAGGCACAGCTGGAAGGTCAATATAATAAATATATATAAATGTATAATGTTATGAGATTTAAGCTATTTAGTCTAAACATATATGTTTTCTTGTTATAATGTGTAGTCATTCTAGAACGAAAGAAGCATAATTTATATTTATTTCCAAATGTTTTATGTTGGTTACGAGATCGGTCAAATCTATCGAACCCGTAGAGATTCGTTAGTGTAAAGAACAGATAAAATATAAAGTTCTTCTTTATGAAACGTTTGATAACTATCTGGACACTATAAAGATTTTGCATGTTGGATAGGTAACATGTGAAAAGAAAAAAAAAATTGGTATGAGAAAAACATTGTTTAACAAACCTTAAGAATTAATAAAAAAAAATATATTTTGCGTATGAATGCATTCTAATGTTAACTGATAATCTATCAAATTTCATTTACATTTGCTTACTAATTTAAAAGTTATAGCATGGAAACTATAACAAGCACAAAATGGTTATGAGGTCAGTTCAACGGACCGAGCCCATGCTGAAAGGGTTAATGGTGCGAGCCCATTGTTTTGAGGTGCCTGTTAATCGAGGTTCTACTGTGGCTGTACTTTTTGGTTTTGACCTTGTTGTTACACATTTTTTCATATTGCTGTATAGTAAAAGACCTGTCTGTTTCCAACTTCTTGAATGCTCTTTAATTATTTTTTCTATGGAATGTCGTCTAACCTATATATATACATTATTGTAGTATCAACACGTTAATGGTAAATAGCACTGTGACTGTACTTTCTGATTTTGTCCTTGTTGGTACACAACATTTTGCCCAAGTTGTTATACAGTAGAATGTTCTACAGATTTCTTTGTTTAGTCTGTTATATATTATGCAAGAAGGTTTTCCAATGTGGCTTATCTTATACCATTTCTTTCTGTTTTTGTTGTCATATGTTGAGTATATCAATTTTAACAGAGTTTAACCTTTTAAACAGTAATGCGTTAATTAACTGTTATTAATAGCAATTTCTTTTATTGTTTTTAATTCACTTGCATAATCCTTTGTCAATAGGTGTACAGTAATAACAGATGTATAACAAGCTGTTGAAAATGCTAGTTTATGAGACATTGGATGTCTTAAAGTGGCACATGTGATGCTATCACTATAAGTTTGTTTTCAGAAAATTTTGAAAGAATATATGTCGCATTATATAAATATAATTTGTTTTTCTTTCTTTCTCTAGAAAGAATAAAAAGGTACTTGAGCAGTCACATCTTATTGATAAAGTACATAATTTTTCTCCCTCTGTTTTTTACTCTAAGGAGTAGAAAGGTATTTGTGTTGTATTACCTTAAAATTTTGGGACTTAAATTTAAAATATCAATAATTTTACAATTCTTCAGTTCTAATCCTTGTTTTCCTCTGAGATTTTAAAGTTTTAGATGTTAAATTAACAATGTATTTTAATAAGGCATCATACATGTTTTTTAACTTGGAAAACAAAGTTTTCCTGTGTATAATTTATAGTGCCTTTAGGTTGTTTGTTATTAAGCACAAAGCTACACAAAGGGCTATTTGTGCTCTGCCCACCACAGGTATCAAAACCCAGTTTCTAGCAGTATAAGTCCACAGACATGCCACTGGGTGCTATTGCATCTAAGATCAGATAATCAGTTTACAATTTTCCTTAGTTTTTTAAATGGCAATGAATAATAAAAATATAAAACAAATAATGAAAGTAATTTAGGAAAGTACTAATAACAGAGTGAATTCAAAAGTAGGGCATGTTTAAAGACAAGGATTTATTGAAGTTGAAGATTAAAATGGAAAAACCTACAATATCTTGCAACACTCTACAATAAAAGAAACCATAAGATACACTGGTATTACCAGTTAATGCTGAAGTGAAATTAATTACATTTAATAAGATGCAATGTATATATGTGTATTCAGTAAACTAATAACTAGTAATAAACATAAAATAGGACAAAACATTGAACTACTCCTATGCACTTTGAAATAAGTTATTACTTGATACTATGTGACTTTTAAATACCTTAGAGCAAACTGCTATACTGTTAACATCAATTGGTCTGTTACACTGAAAAACATATCAAAATATACTTGGCACCGAATTAAAATGCAATATTAACCTATACCACTTCAAATATATTCACTCCACTGATAATCACATAAAGATCCATATAGTGTAAATAACCTTCATACTATTTTTGATCACTTGAATCCTCCAATACTGTTAATTCATATTAGCACTAAGCAGGATATTGAAAATTATAGCCTTACAATTATAAAAAAAACTGAGATAGAATATATGCAATATAATACCTCTTTCATGTTTTTATAGCTATGTCTGAGATTGAAACATATCTTTTTCACAAAGAAAATGTAATTTCAGGTTTTCACATAGTTATTATAAGATATAATTAGTTGGTCTAACAAAAAAAGTCTCTTGAAGCATAAAATGTTATGCATTTCATTTAAAATATGGTACTTATAAAAGGTTTTAGCCTGAGTTTAGAGCAATAACTGAATACCACTGTTCACAATATATAGATCTATAAACTACTACAAAAGTTTAGATATAATACTTACTTAGATAACTTAATCAAAGAGTTTTAAAGTTGTGTGCAAGCCTAAAATACAGACACAAAATACAAGAGAAAAATTACCTATTTTCAGCTATGTTTGTAGCTTTATTAGCAACATTTGTTCTTTGTATGATGAGAAAGGCAGTGTAACCTCATAGGGTAATGAGGTGTTAAGTTATGAATGATGTTGATCATACAACTAATAAAAGTAATGGTAACAAGTAATTATAACTTGTAATTGTAACAGTGCATCAGGCAGGATAACATGTACATATTTCTTAACACATCTCACCAAAATACTCAGTATGCCATAAATTTTATAAGTATAGGCTCTAATTATCTGTAAAAAAATCAGAAATTCACAAACAGACAAATCTAGACTAAAATGGCATTCTCAATTTCCTGCTTTGTGATATGACTGAAAAACATATTCTAACAGATCGACCAACTGATAATACACAAGACTAACAAGCAGTTCAATGTTTTTTTTTTTTCAATGACAAAATGCATGAAAAATAACCACATTCAAATTTAACTTAAAAAGTGAAAAAATAAATGATTTTTGGAAATTAGCATCCAAACGTAAGAGTTCTGTGTCCTAGTATATCTGATGATTGACCACAAGGTTTATTAGTCTACATCAAAGCACCTGGAAATCCATGAGAAAATTATTACACTCTAGAAGTTGGGCTAATGACTTTATGGCATTATATTATGACATACCTAATAATTACGTTTGCTGAATAAATTATCTCCATTTGTACAATTCATGTAAACTTCATTCAGTCTTTATATTATTATTTTAGTATACAATGCTTGAAAATTTTCCTTTATTCTAACACTTCAGACCATGACATTTAAATTTCATCAGTTTAGTCCATTGTATTCATATTTCTCAAGCTAACTTTTACCTTAGAAGTTCAGTTTACAATGCATACATTTGATAAGTTATTTTTTATTGTAGAATGTCAATTCACTATACTTAGATTACATAAGTTATCCCTTATTCTGGTAGTTACATTCATAATACCTATATTTTATAAGCTATCCTTTATACTAGCAGTTCAATTCTAAATAGTTACATTTATTAAATTACCTTTATCTTCCTTTGTTTATAAAAACATTGTGATGAATTTGTGTACTGACATAAAGAAAGCTCTAATGGTGAATTACTGGTTTATGTAAGTTTTTTCTTTTAACTGGAACAATAAAATGTGTTTAACTTGTGTATTTATATAAATCTAGTAGAATAGAAATTCATTGGTTTTGGAAATAAGCTGGATTTTAAAACAAATTATTTTACTGTTTTATTAAATATTATAGAGCAAATCTCACTGTTTTTCCAGTATTATGAAGAGTACAGTAAGTTTTCAATGTAACTGATCATCAATACATAACAAAAAAAACAAACAACCCTGAGAATGTATGTATCCTATAGAATGAGTGCAATGATGAGTAATAATATTATGTAATTAGAGAAGCAGTAAACTGATAAATGGTACTGTGTAAAGGACCAGCTTCTTCTACTTAAATGAAGTATAGCATTATACTACTGAATTGTAATCAGTAAAATTTGCAACCTTTCTGAGGTCAAATGAAATGGAACCCAAGTGATTCTAACAAGTATTATACATACATCTATATATACAATCTTCAACTATGTTAACCCTTTGAACGCACAGTTATATTTCGGGTGGGTTCTCAAAAAGTGTCAATTAACCACTAAAAAATGAAATTTAGAATTTGACCTTTAAAGCAATTTTTCAATATCAAAATACGCTAGTTGCACTTTTGCTCAGTAATGTAGTCGCATGATAATAAGGCGAGAAATTCAAGGACGTGTGAATATCCCGATTGTCGCACTATGAGGAAAAGTTTTTGTGACACTGTGGGGTAAATCCACTTGTTGCACCAAATGGCTATATATGTCAAGGCAAAGGGTTAAAATGAATATGATCAAATATATACTTGAAAACACCAATACGTAAGTAAGCATACTGACTGATACCAAGTATCAAGTTTCTCCAACAAAGAGTGAAAGATGAAAAACTTCAAAGCATATCTTAAAGTGAAAAAAAATTAATGAAATGTAACAGTGGCACAAAAAATACTGTTTAAAAGTACAACACCTGCTGTATAAGAACCATATTGAATGTAACTAAAGTTGTTGAAGAATTTGTAATTATACTCAAAATTATATGAAATATATATAAAGTATTGGAAATAAATATGGAAACACATGTGAAATGTATTATTTTACTCCAGAAAATATCATTTAATGTGAGTATAGGAGCTTAAGGTCTACAAGCTTATCATATTGAAAGAATATAACTATGTATTTGCATATATTACTGTTTTGTGTGTTAACTCTTTGCCCTGTTTGTAGCACAACACCTGGTCAACATACTGCAAATATCCTGCAGTGTGTCTCATGATTTTACTAGGTTGCTTGGTTGTCTCTTGATCTTCTCTACATTCTTGTATGCTCATGTTCCCTCAGCAACGTTTGTAACTGACTGAAGGCAGGAGTTCCAGTGTTTCAATTGCATGTTTTATGAACATACTGTCAATTATTATTAAAGAAGTTTAATTTGGTTTTATCAGTAAACAATATACTCTCAGGCCTGATTGTCTCTTCACAGCAAAGTTTTTCATGCAGCTAAATGTCTATTGTGACTTCACTGAACCAACTAGTTTCTTAATGTATTTGGGGTGATTTACACAAATATACTTGATTCCAGATCTTTTATTTTGCAAGAAACATATCCTCAGATACCTTATGTCAATGACAGAAAAATTTAGTTTTCATTCTCAACAGGGTTTGTTGCTAATAATGCCAATTTCTCATACCTACAAGAGTGTCTTGTACACAGCACTGGCCAAAATGACAACTCCTACATGCTTGTCATGGAGTATTTTCTCTTGTAGATGCCATACTTTCTTTAACAAACACAACTGAGGTGGTAGTATTAATTATGTTTGTATAAATGGTAAGCTGGTGTGGCATTGTTTTTGACTGATTGGATGGGAAATAGAATATCACATTAACATAGCTGTACCTGTATTTACCCTATTGTAAACAACAGTATCATCTAGGGAGGTGGCTGTGATGTACATGATTTAGACTTATCTTTGTGTGTAGTTCAAGTGTTTGTTGTAGACTCATACTTACTGCTGAGCCATTGGAGGCACTGTATGTAATTTCCATATTTATTTTCACTACAATACACACACACACATATATATATATATATACATAGATGTCACTTAAGTATGCTATGGATAACTCCAAAGAAACATTAAGGTTATTTGGGACAAAGGTTTATAATGAAGACTAACCTGTAATGTTAAGAAACAAATTAAATAAAGAACAGTTTGGTAAAGAAGAAGGGATTTGAGTTTTCTTTTATATATGTGTGTGTGTGTGTGTATAAGATAATCACATAATTTTCAGTGGAAAATCTTATTCACTGCTACAGGAATTACATCCATACCATATTTAATGTTAGTCGTTTCATTCTGTGGCTGATGAGGAAAGAAAAAAGTACCTGAAGTCACATTTTGGTAGTAATATATATATGTAATGGATAACACTCTGTACACCAAAGTTTCTTGTTGCAGTTGTACCATTAAGAATTTCTTTACATGCATTTATTATATTCTTCTTTAAAATTTGATTACAAAGCTTCTGGTGTTTAATAATAAAGAATATTTCATAGTGTCAAACATTTATCTTGTTCCAACTGGTATTTTATTTCTCTAATTACCTAGGTGTTTTTCCATCCTGACAGTGAAGTCTGCTGAAAAATGTAAGTAATTTCCTAGATATTAAATATATACTTACTGAATATTTCTAAATGTTTATTCAATTATGCTGGGTAATGTATCAAAACTTAAAAAAAAGTCACTTTGATTATTATATCACCTACTGTGTTCTATATACCTTATTGGTCTGTTAACTAAAGTTAACTTTTCCCTTCACACACATTTTCTCTGTTCACAGTTTGATCTACAAAAAATGAGGTAGATTACAGGAAACTTAGAATTTTAATTGTAAAACTTGCTGCAAAATTATACAGCTTGTTTAACCTGACTTTTAAAGCAATAATATGTAAATTATGATGCACTCTAAAATTTTGTTCATGGTAATTTGCTACATTATATCCTCAACACGAAGGATAAAATTATATTGTATTATTATACAGTTTATTAACTTGCTATATATATATATTGTATTTATCAAGTAAATATTGTCTAAAGTATTATTTCTGTCTCATTTCAAATGCATATCATGTATGCCAGCAGTTTAGTCCACAAATCAGGTAAGTATCATGCATCCTAGCATTTCAGTCAGTGATACTTGTCAAACATGTAGGATACTATGCATATTATCAAAATGCCTCATAAAAATTTATACAACATACAATACGTTTTTAGGTATTACAGTTCAGTCTATAGCATTCAAGTTAATAAAGTATCAGAGGTGGTAAACTTGTATTAATAACACAACTGTGAATATTTGTTATTGATATCTTTATAACCTTTATATTTGTTATAGATAACACCTAATATAGGAAACATGGTGCACCAGAATCCTAAGTACATATAACGTACACATAAAAAAAAGATTATTTACCACCGTAAATGATTTATTGTAAACCTTTCTTAAAGTAAAATGTGCATAGTTAGCATGAGAGACATCATGTTGAAATTTTAAATTTAGCATTACATAAGTCTAATAAGCTTTTATGTAGAAGAAAAATGCTTCTTATTTTGTAATGATCTGTAAATAAACAAAGACCATTTGAATATTGAAGCATATACATACATACACAGTAAAAATTACAGTGAATCATTTACAGACAATAACTGAAGTAAAATTCACAATATTTTGTAAAAAACAGCTCTCAACATACTGGCCTGATAAAATTGTTGGGCTAATCCCCTGATTTCTTAAAAAATGTAAGAATACCAAAATGAAAATAACACAAATTTTAAGAACTCTTTGTTGATATCAAATGTTATAACAAACAACAAAAAACCTTTACCACTTTCCACTTCAGTACATCATGACAAGACTTTGAAATTCTTTAACAATACACTAAAAACCTAGTTTAGTTCAAAATTTATGATGTATTAAATAAAGAGCAGTGTAGCTAAAAGAGGTATTATGAAAACCTCACTAAACATCACAAGAAAAAAATCCATATTAATACTTCTACTGTAATGTAAATATTACTATTTAAGTATTATTGTAAAATCTCAGTATAGGTGAGAGTAGAAATGGAGAAAATATGAAAACTACTGGGCAAAATTTTTACCTCAATACAGAACTTTGATAAAAGATGGAATTACATTATATGATTTATAATAATATACTATCACACCAGTTCTAAAAAGACTATAATATTGTTATCATACATTTAGTACTATATTATTGGATATGTTTGAACTACAGCTCCCATCTCAATGAAGAGCTACAGCAGATGACAATCATACAGAAATTACTACTTCTAGCTTTCAATCAATAAATATTCTAGGAAAAATTTCAGCAGAGCTGAAAATGCACACAATGAGAAAAATGAAAGATTTTAAGATATAAGTTAAATCTTTAATTTTAATTTTTTTCTTACTAAAACCAAAAGTTAGGTTTGTACAGATCATTATTGTCCAAACCAGTATAACCTGTAACTAGTAAAACTCTTCTTTTTTTATATTACAAAAAGCTGAAGACTGACCAAGCTTGTGAAAAAGTTCCAAGATTCATATAGATGAGAGTAGTTAGGAGCCAGGGATATTCAAAAAACCTTGAAATAGTCTGGTTCATGTCTGATCCCTTTCTATGGGCTCTTGTTCCACCAGTGGTTCTTGGCTAAGCCTGTGATAGTGGTAGCTAGGAAAGATACTGTGGCTATCACTGTACCGACGCTTCAGTGAAAGTAGTCTAACAGTGCTGAGACTTTCCTGAGTAGGAGAGCTTGGTGGTGTCACAACAAAACAAAAACAACTGTTTAAAACCAGGTATCAAATAAAAATAAATAAATGTAGGGAACACTTTTATAAACAGGAATATATATATATAAGTAGCAAATCAAGGACAAAATAACTGAAACATTTTTGTACATATACTTCAAACTCACAAACATATACAATTACATAAGTTACAAAAACAACTCATCAGAATAATCAGAATTTATGAAAAATAAAATATGTTCTATGTTTAAACCAAAGATCTTCATTAGAAAGACAATATGGACAAACTGCTGGTCATGTTTTTTCTTTACCCATACTTTGGTTACTTGTAGAAATACGTAAAACTTTAGAAATTTCTTACATAATTGTTACTTGCTTCAGAAATGGCTGAAAATACTTCTTTTTTACAATAGAAAATTCAAAACTGAAATTTTGAGAAAATACAACCTTTAATGGCCAACTTTAGTATAGTAACCACCATTAATTTTACCTCCTGTTAGATTAAAATCTCATTTTAGTTAATGCAAGCTGTATAACAGTCATTAATATAGTACAGCATTATCAAATTAGTTTAGTTAATTATATTTTGTTAACTACTTTAATTGTAATTTCTTTGTTCACATATTATTATTCTTTCTCCATGCATTTTTCTCATATCTTATTATCACTTTGGTTAGTTCTTAGAGCTTAACTTTATCTGTTACTTCTGGCAGGACATTCAATAAATTGGCTACCTGTGATGGAGATATTTAAAGTTAGATTAGTATATTTTATTATAATTAAATTAGTTCTTTTAATTAGGGTATAAATAATATTTTTACTATTCACTTCACTATATTGTTATTAATTTAATTTATTTTGTGCCTTCAAAAACATTAGATTTTTTGTTGTATTATCTGTTCTAACCTGCTAGTTGGCTCTATAATTAAACAGTAATGTGTCATAGCAATTTATCTCAGATGTCAAGTTACCCTAAAGTTACACTGCCAGAACCATCTGATGGACTTTCATTGATCAGTAAACATTTTAGCAATTTACGAAGAATTAAATAAAGTTTTGTTTATATCGATGTCACACCTTTCAAGAGACAAAGAAATGTTGGTAGTGCATGAAACAAACATTTAGTTTTTATGTATTTGTAGGTTTTTCTCTTTCTCTGATGATTGTTTCAAAAGCAGCATTGAATAAAATGTTTATTTACTTATATATTTTTATTATTTATTATTATGATTATTTTACATTGTTATTTTTGTATATTGACTTAGGAATAACCTAAATCTCCTATGATGGCTGAGCCTTCTGAGATATTACTAAGATTATGACTGAAAATATCACTAATAGAGAGGGTATTCAACTGATGAATCAATGCATTCTAATTCTGAATAAACCTAGTTAAAACAGCATATTAACTAGTGGGTTAATTTTCAGTTCTAATCTATGTAGGGTTACTAACTTATAAATATATTTATAATAATCTAAACAGATTATCAACAACTACCTATATAAGTCAGTCAAAGTTCAAGTTAATTTGCTCAAACAATAAGGAAATAGTTAACAATTGTTGTTTGTCATTAAGCACAATGCTACACAGGTATTGAAACCCAGTTTCTAGTGGTATAAGATCGCAAACATACCGCTGTGCCACTGGGGGGCAAATAGTTAACAAGGAATTACTTTCAGACCAGATTCAGGCACACCCATAGATGGTCAATTCAAACAAAATGTAACCAGTATAGTAACTAGTATGCAATAATTACCAAGAATGGATATTTCTATTCAAACATCAGACAAACAGTATAAAAATGCCCATAGATTACAACCAAAATGTTTACTTACTCAAACAAAACCCATACAATGTAGTAGCACAGACAGAATCCTCCAACCATGATTGTTCCGACAATGATGCAAAACAAAGTAGGGATATGGCGAACCTGAAAAAATAAAGCAACTCCCTTTAAGAAGTTTAAATATTTTTTAAGTAAAATAAATCCACATCTCCTAACAAATTAATAAATTTCATACAACTTAACCTGTATATATATATATATCTATCACAAAAAGATGATGCATCAACGTGCCTGCTGTACAGCGTATATGTACATATTAGGTTGTCAAGAAATTAATATTGCTTTTTTTTAGATGAAAAAAACCCTGACAACTTATATATCAAAATAAAACATTTATTAAATGAAATAGTCTCCATTCTTATCAATGATGCTTTTCCATCTTACAATCAGGTTGTTATTGTCCTGATTAAAGAAATCACTTAGCTTTGAAGCAAAAGACATGTCGATGTCCTCTTTAACACCTTCCATATTTGCATACGTTTTCCCATTAAGATGGTGTTGCAGTGAATGGAAAAGACGGTAATCTGATGGTGCCATATCTGGAGAATATGGTGGGTGGGGGAGAAATTCCCAACCCAACTCCATAATCTTGTGTCGCATCAAACGTGCTACATGTGGACGTGCATTGTCATGGAGAAGAACACCTTTCCGATTGACAAGTGAAGGGCATTTCTGATGAAGGGCTTTATTTAAGCATTCCAGTTGCTGACTATAGATCTCTGTATTGACAGTTCGCTATGGATTAAGGAGTTCGAAATGAATTACTCCTTTGATGTCCAACCAATGCAAGCATCACTTTCAGCAGATGGAGTCCGTAGGTTTGGGTCGGTAAGTT